AATAATAATAATAATATTAATAATAGCTGATAGTAATAATAATAATAATAATAATTAATTATAATAATAATAATTAATTATAATAATAATAATAGTAATAATAATTAATTATAATAATAATGATAATAATTAGTTATAACAATAACTATAAATAATAAATAATAATAATAAAAATGTGTTTATGATAATAATATATATTTATTATGATAATAATGATTATAAAATGATGTTATCCTAATACTGTTGATATTCATTATTATGAGTACGAATATAATGATGCAAATAAATACAAAAAAATTATAAATGATAATGATAATGATATTGATGATGGCAAATGATGAATAAAAATCATATAAATAGGAAAGAACTAATAAACAATAAATGAATAAGAAGACAATCACGATAATAACTATGCTTATAGTTATATTAAGGGCAGTTCCTTTAAAGGACACGCTCTATATGTCCTATGCACTATAACACTTTAATTGCATTTGCTTCATGTAGTTCTATTTTCAAATACTTGAAGTTGGTAGCTCGGGTTAACTGGCTAAAATGCGTAAGGCCAAAATCCAATTGCATGATAAAGTTTCGTTGGTCAGAAGAGTAAGCAAGATAAATTGATGCTGGCAGCAGTGCAGACACAGCAGAGTGACCAAAGGGGTGAGGAGGCGAAGCCAGAGAGTGGAAATGAGAGCCAGAGGAGTAGCCGAAGCAACAGTCGAGGCAATTGTGCTAATGGAAAAGCTATCAACTCTCGCACAAACTGACAAACTAGACACATTTCGCTTTATATTTGTGTTTTTATTTTGTTTTTGCCTTTTGCCTGGATGCGCTGAAGTGTATGAATAATGTCAGTGTGTTAGTCCTGCGAGTGCCTCGTCTCCATGTCCTTGCCAGCTGAAGTGGTTCAATAGCCAACAAAACGAAGTTTTGGCAACAGCAACAGGAGCAGCAGGAGCAGGAGCAGCCGGAGGCGCTGAGGCATGTCGAGTTCATTTGAGTTGAAGATGAGCTCTGATGCAACGTTAGCAACGTTGACGCGTTGCCACGCGTCGCGACGCGTCGCCTCATGTTGCACGTTGGCAAAGAGCATTTTTAAATGAACACAGCTGCTGCAAAGCCCTTTTAAATAACTTCCAATGCTGCACACTGAGTCACTCATTTGCTATGCCCTCTCATTGGGGATACCTGTGCAGGGCCTTAAATAAACTGTCAAGAGTATGTGTGCCTCTCTCTCTCTCTCTCTCTCTCTGGTAGGGATTAGTTCTAAGCATAGCTGCTTCCTACACTACATAAACTTCACAAATGTAAATAAAATTTATATTCAGTTGTCCTAGC